AAGAGGTAATTCTATTTTACTCTAGTGTCAATTTATTAATTATTCTTTAATTTTATTTAATTGTGTATCCAATTTCATCTCTTGAAGTAATGAAAATTAATGACATATTAGTGTATGCATTTTTATAATGGATGATTATATTGTAAGTACAATTTTTATTTGATACACTACATTTTTAATTACAATTAAGTTCTCCAATCTTTGTTCATAGCAACAATTATTTTATTAACTTTTTTTTAGTTGAATTCTTATATTCAACTATCCATTAATTAGTATGTTTAATTTTATGCTTTGAAAGGAGAGAAAAGTATTTTTATTTTTATTTTTTGCACTTTATTTCTTTAAAAATGTGATGAAAAATAAATTTTTTTTTTTTATGTCATTTCGGCAAACTTTTGGACATACAAAAGTGCTATAATACACAAATTTTATATTTGTACATAATATTATTTTTTTTGAAGAATGTGTGTTTAAAAATAACAGAGAAAAAAAGTGTTTTTGAAAATAATGGGAGCATAATTTATACTATATTTATAATTTTTGAATATATAATATATTTTTTATTTTTCATTTACTAGCTGGCGACAGGCTGTCACCAACATAGCTCTCTTCTCGCTCTCAGACTTCTCCGTTCTACCTCTCATTTTTTCTTTGAAATCTTCTCTTCCTCAGTGGTTTCCTGTTTTTCTTTGGCGAGATTTGGAATTTCCGTTTCAGCTCAGTGGATCATTGATTTACTAATCGTAAGCTTCCTCCTGATCTCACTTTTTTTAGGCTATAGTTTTTAGACTTAAATGTCCTATCTGTTGCTTATGATTTTTCAGAGCAAGAATCGGTGACACATGTTAATTTTAGTCCGTACAAGGTTTTTAAGACTTCAATTAGAGAAGATTTTGATCTTTTCCCCCGGACTATTTTGCAGGCTAAGTTATAACTGGACAGAAAATGATAAAATTGTTTTTCTATGTATATGCATTTTTAGTGTATAATTTCAGCATTCGTATAAGTGTTTATGGATATGATTTTTTTGCTTTGCGATGTTGTGAGCAGGAAATGATAAATGCTTGTTTCAATTTTAAGGAAATAGGAGTTTATATTTCTGTAAAGTTGGTAAAAGGTGTTAGAAGAGATACTAATAGAGGTACTTAGGAGAGGACAAAGTAGCAATTGTGCCGTGAGGGAACTAGTACTTCGGCATGGGTTAAATAGATTTTCATTTGGCTGCAAGAGAGCTCAGTTATTGTTTATAGTGAATTTTATGAATTTTTTGATAATCGAATTGACAACTGGTCAACTAAAAATTTCCAAAATTTTATATGTTTGGCCAATTATCATTATAATTGCGCTGTACCCGCTTCTATTGTATGTCGTCCATATGTGTCGTCTTGTATTCCAAAGTAGCTTCATGTTCTGCTGGAAGATGTTTTTTGAACCCTTATGGAATCCAGGAACTCGGGTCATTTATTTTATCAGTGAATTTTTTTACTAATAATTTTTAAAAGATTCATCTAGGCATGACCTAGGCGTTCTTGTAGTGTCTAAGTTCAGTGACTTTAGCCCCCGTTTGGCCCCCATTAAATTACATTCTATTACATTCTATTTTTCTCTCTCCGATTTTCAACTACACAATCTTTCATAAAATAATATTACACATAAATCAAAAAAAGTTCATTCTTTTTCAACCTCTCATTTTTCAAAAAAACACTATTCCCCCCATTTTCATTACCCAAAAATTGGGGTCAAACAGGGGCTTAATGTAGTGCTATAGAGCAACCTTTATTGCCCTTAATTAAGCCTCATTCTCGAAAAACTCATTCTGCCCCCCCCTCCCAAAAAAAATCATTTTCAACTCCACATTCTCCCAATAAAATAATTTTGCATGTAAATTTAAAACTTTTTACTACCTTTTTACCATGTATATTTCAAAAACATCACAATTACAAAATCTATTTTTTCAAAAACTGGAGCTCAAACACAGGCTAAGTTTTTTGAGCTTTTTGTGTCCAAATTCTATTGACCCAAGGATTTTAATTTCCTTCGTTATATGGCAGTGACTTATTTATTGGTGACCAAATTTTGATTAGTTGATGAAATGCATATAAGAATATTTTTAAGAAATTCATTTAGTGCTGATTTACATAAGATAATTATGACATTAGCCCCCGTTTGGCTCCCATTAAATTTCATTAAATTATATTCCATTTTTCTCTCTCATATTTTCAACCACTCAATCTTTCATAAAATAATATTACACGTGAATCGAAATTTTTTCCTTCTTTTTCAACCACTCATTTTTCAAAACAACACTATTCCACCCATTTTCATTTTCCGAAAATGGGGGCCAAACAGATACTAGTGGGATTTACTTAGCATTGTTAAATTTCTGAATTTGCTTATTACATTGTGCATTTATGATTTTATTATTATTATTACTATTTTTTTGAGATTTTAATTTACACTCAACTGTCATGAAGTGCATGGTTTCCACTTGAGCCCCAGAGGTTTTTGTGCATGGTTTCTCTTTGACATTTAATGCTGAAACTGGATATTAGATATTTGCTGTCTTCTCTCTTTAATATTTGTCCCTTGGCCTACTATATTTTTTAACCTGTTAAATTTTCTGGATAATTTCTGTTGGGCTGCTTTTCAAGGTGATTCACTTGGTTGGCATTTTACGTTGCTTTGTTTCTATTAATTTATCATTTCAGAATTTCGTTATTTTTCTACAACTTTTTGGTTGATTGTAAGACAGTTTAGTTTTATTTACTGAATTTTTTATGGTGCATCTCTCTGGTCTTGTTATAACAGTTCTATGCTTTTGACCTTATATTTTTTTATGTTCGCAAAGAGCAAGGATGTCTGAGTTTGCAAAAGTTGTCAGTTTAGAGTTTCCACTGGGCTAAAAAGTTCACAATCTTGATAAAGGAAACTTTTAGATAGTTGAAAGTGCGAGGATTTCTCTTTATCGATGATAACTGAAAGCTCTCAAGGATGTCTGAATTTGCAAAAGTTGTCAGTTTAGAGTTTCCACTCGGCTAAAAGTTCATGTTCTTGATAAAGGAAACTTTAAGATGGTTGCTAGTGTAAGAATCTCTTTATTGATGATGGCTGAAAGCTCCCAAGGTTGGAAAATAAGATAGCTCTCCTGTTGCTTTCTCCTGATCCTTGCTCGAGTAGTATCTAATATGATCTTGAGTTTTCGTGTATAATTATTTTGGACCAACAGGAGGGTTCCTTAATATTTTTCGAATTAGCTCTTCTTGCTATCGAGCATTGAGGTGGGATCCTTTATTCAATAGATAAATTTCTTGTGTCCACGCTGGCGGATAGTATGCGTAGAATCTGTGAATTGGGTAATGCCCCTGTCTAGATTTCTTGCTGATGCACTTGGTGTGGTGACGATTTGTCTTGTTGTTGTTCTGGTCCTTCTGGGTATATTCTGCATCGTGTATTCGTTTTACTTCCATGATCGGATCCATGGTCAAGGTCTTGTTCGGCTCAACTACTTTAGTGGTCCTTGGATTATCAGAATTACATTCATCTTTTTTGCGGTTTGGTGGGGTTTTGGAGAGATTATTCGGTTAAATCTGTTGAGAGGGGAGGGAAGAGTCCTGAATTCCCTCAACTTGAAACGTCAGAAAACTGTTTGCAAATGCTATGTTGTTTCAAATCTCGGGTTTGCCGAACCATGCCTGATCCTCATTCTCATATTTCTACTTCGTGCAACCTTGCAGAAGTCTGGAACATTAAGCCGGAGGTGGAATGCAAAAACAGCTGCTTATGTGCTTCTTTATTGTCTCCCAATATTTGTTCTTCAGGTGATTGTAATTCTAATTGGAACATGGCATAACAAGGAGAGTTTTGTGCACAGATTACCTCCTTATTTCACCAAGGCTTCAGCTTTTTCTAAAACAAAGGACAATGATAATGTTGCCCTCTGCACTTACCCTCTGTTGAGTACCGTTGTCCTTGGTCTTTTTGCCACCCTCCTAACAACTTACTTGTTCTGGCTTGGGAGACAAATTCTTCATTTGGTCATCAATAAGGGTTTACAAAAGAGAGTGTATACACTAATCTTTTCTATTTCTGGTTTTTTCCCATTACGAGTTCTTCTTCTTGGATTATCTGTGCTATCAGAGCCGGATAAACTTTTATTTGATGCTATTTCATTCTTAGCTTTTCTTTCCTTTTTATGTTGTGCGGTGGTGGCCATCTGCATGCTCGTGTACCTCCCCATTGCAGATTCTTTAGTCTTGAGGAGTCTACAAAGAGATATAGAGGCTATGAGGTTTATTGATGAATATGATTCACTAATTCATTATGAAGGCCCTTCCAGAACAAGTATGCTCACTAGTCCTGGGAGAAATTCAGCTTCTTTGGAAAGGAGTGGATCGATATCTTTTCGTACGATGGTAAAAGATGAAACCTCTGGGGCATTTGTGGATGTGAGCCTATTTACTCCTAGTCAGCCTTCAACCCCATCCGGGTCACCTAAACTTGTTGGCTGGCCTATGCTCTCACCTTCATAACTTCATGGATCTTAAAAGCTAATGAGGAGGGTATAACATCTTTGGGGTGAATGAAAACTCTGTAAAGGATTGCTGATTTTGTTTTGTTATTGACATTATGACATAGGTTTGCTTGTTACTCATCTATGCTTTTTTTTAGGTGGATCTCTTGTATCTGTATCTATCAACAGTTGACAGTTTTATAACAATTAGCCTTTGTTTGAGCTCCATTTTAAAGAGAAATTTTGGTAAAATGTATTATGGAAAAACAATACTATTCCACCCATTTTCATTTTCCGAAAATGGGGGCCAAACAGATACTAGTGGGATTTACTTAGCATTGTTAAATTTCTGAATTTGCTTATTACATTGTGCATTTATGATTTTATTATTATTATTACTATTTTTTTGAGATTTTAATTTACACTCAACTGTCATGAAGTGCATGGTTTCCACTTGAGCCCCAGAGGTTTTTGTGCATGGTTTCTCTTTGACATTTAATGCTGAAACTGGATATTAGATATTTGCTGTCTTCTCTCTTTAATATTTGTCCCTTGGCCTACTATATTTTTTAACCTGTTAAATTTTCTGGATAATTTCTGTTGGGCTGCTTTTCAAGGTGATTCACTTGGTTGGCATTTTACGTTGCTTTGTTTCTATTAATTTATCATTTCAGAATTTCGTTATTTTTCTACAACTTTTTGGTTGATTGTAAGACAGTTTAGTTTTATTTACTGAATTTTTTATGGTGCATCTCTCTGGTCTTGTTATAACAGTTCTATGCTTTTGACCTTATATTTTTTTATGTTCGCAAAGAGCAAGGATGTCTGAGTTTGCAAAAGTTGTCAGTTTAGAGTTTCCACTGGGCTAAAAAGTTCACAATCTTGATAAAGGAAACTTTTAGATAGTTGAAAGTGCGAGGATTTCTCTTTATCGATGATAACTGAAAGCTCTCAAGGATGACTGAATTTGCAAAAGTTGTCAGTTTAGAGTTTCCACTCGGCTAAAAGTTCATGTTCTTGATAAAGGAAACTTTAAGATGGTTGCTAGTGTAAGAATCTCTTTATTGATGATGGCTGAAAGCTCCCAAGGTTGGAAAATAAGATAGCTCTCCTGTTGCTTTCTCCTGATCCTTGCTCGAGTAGTATCTAATATGATCTTGAGTTTTCGTGTATAATTATTTTGGACCAACAGGAGGGCCTTAATATTTTTCGAATTAGCTCTTCTTGCTATCGAGCATTGAGGTGGGATCCTTTATTCAATAGATAAATTTCTTGTGTCCACGCTGGCGGATAGTATGCGTAGAATCTGTGAATTGGGTAATGCCCCTGTCTAGATTTCTTGCTGATGCACTTGGTGTGGTGACGATTTGTCTTGTTGTTGTTCTGGTCCTTCTGGGTATATTCTGCATCGTGTATTCGTTTTACTTCCATGATCGGATCCATGGTCAAGGTCTTGTTCGGCTCAACTACTTTAGTGGTCCTTGGATTATCAGAATTACATTCATCTTTTTTGCGGTTTGGTGGGGTTTTGGAGAGATTATTCGGTTAAATCTGTTGAGAGGGGAGGGAAGAGTCCTGAATTCCCTCAACTTGAAACGTCAGAAAACTGTTTGCAAATGCTATGTTGTTTCAAATCTCGGGTTTGCCGAACCATGCCTGATCCTCATTCTCATATTTCTACTTCGTGCAACCTTGCAGAAGTCTGGAACATTAAGCCGGAGGTGGAATGCAAAAACAGCTGCTTATGTGCTTCTTTATTGTCTCCCAATATTTGTTCTTCAGGTGATTGTAATTCTAATTGGAACATGGCATAACAAGGAGAGTTTTGTGCACAGATTACCTCCTTATTTCACCAAGGCTTCAGCTTTTTCTAAAACAAAGGACAATGATAATGTTGCCCTCTGCACTTACCCTCTGTTGAGTACCGTTGTCCTTGGTCTTTTTGCCACCCTCCTAACAACTTACTTGTTCTGGCTTGGGAGACAAATTCTTCATTTGGTCATCAATAAGGGTTTACAAAAGAGAGTGTATACACTAATCTTTTCTATTTCTGGTTTTTTCCCATTACGAGTTCTTCTTCTTGGATTATCTGTGCTATCAGAGCCGGATAAACTTTTATTTGATGCTATTTCATTCTTAGCTTTTCTTTCCTTTTTATGTTGTGCGGTGGTGGCCATCTGCATGCTCGTGTACCTCCCCATTGCAGATTCTTTAGTCTTGAGGAGTCTACAAAGAGATATAGAGGCTATGAGGTTTATTGATGAATATGATTCACTAATTCATAATGAAGGCCCTTCCAGAACAAGTATGCTCACTAGTCCTGGGAGAAATTCAGCTTCTTTGGAAAGGAGTGGATCGATATCTTTTCGTACGATGGTAAAAGATGAAACCTCTGGGGCATTTGTGGATGTGAGCCTATTTACTCCTAGTCAGCCTTCAACCCCATCCGGGTCACCTAAACTTGTTGGCTGGCCTATGCTCTCACCTTCATAACTTCATGGATCTTAAAAGCTAATGAGGAGGGTATAACATTTTTGGGGTGAATGAAAACTCTGTAAAGGATTGCTGATTTTGTTTCTGTAAAGGATTGCTGATTTTGTTTTGTTATTGACATTATGACATAGGTTTGCTTGTTACTCATCTATGCTTTTTTTTAGGTGGATCTCTTGTATCTGTATCTATCAACAGTTGACAGTTTTATAACAATTAGCCTTTGTTTGAGCTCCATTTTAAAGAGAAATTTTGGTAAAATGTATTATGGAATAATATTTTTTGGGAGAACGTGTAGCTGAAAAAGAAGGAATTTCTTTTGACTTACGTATAATATTACTTTATTGAAGAATGTGTGATTTAGAAGAAGGGAAAGAAAAATGTATAAAAATTTTAGAGAGTGTCACAGGGGATTAAGTTTGCTTTATATGTGACCAATGTCTTCAGCTTAGTATTGAGTGTGATCTTGTGCCATAAAAGATAGCTTCTACTGGAGAGACTCGAATGGCATTATGGTCTCCCGTCATTGTTTTTTGCATCCTGAGTCCCCAAACTTTGAGTTTGAACAATTGCTAAAAAGTCTGTCAACTAGCCATGTGAATGGCACATGACCTCTTCTTTTCAGACCATGTTAGGGCCCATTACCTTAGGGCTTGTTTGATATTACTTTTGAGCTCGTTCGACACGACTTTTGAAAAATTAAAATTAGCATTTGAAATTCAAAAATTATTTTTGGACCTGTTTGGCGAATTTTAGAAAAATATTTCTTTTAGTTAGAAGAACTTTTAAAAAAAGTTGGTTTAACATGACTTCCTTTAAAAATACTTTCGAAAGATGAATATCTTTTAACAGGAAGTTAAAGTAAAAATGATAATACTTAGGATACATAATGGACACTATAACGGTGTTCATAATGCTCAAGTGGGCCCCTTATTGGAGGGACGGGTGTCCCCTCACATTATGGACACCATATCCCTCTAATAGGGGGGGCGCCACTTAGGCATTATGATGTTTATTATGTTCAAGTAGAATAATTCAAGTAAAAATCATGTCAAGCGACTCTTAGTTATAAGTTTTATAAAGTGTGTGATAATATACATTTACTTAATTAGAATTTAAGTAGTGCCAACTATGCATTGTAATTTATTCAAAAACAAAAGAAAAAGAAAAATCTAGAGATTAAAAAGGTAATATCCAAATGTTTTGAAGGATGAATAGTATAGTAATATTAATAATTTTATGGATTCAATATCCAAATTATGGAATTATTAAATTTCTAAATTAGGTATTTAAGAGCATAATAAATGATATTGACTTCTTTTCCTAATTTTGGAAATAGTTATTAATCTTCAATAGTTTAATCTCCTGATAATGTCATAATTAGTATATGTGATAAATTGATAATGTACAAGTATACTATGATAGTCTTGCTTCTCTTTGATACGAGGAGCGGAAAATTCTCGTAGAAAAAATTGAAATGAGAGCAATAGGTGTTCCACGACAGCTAATAAATTCTATTTAAATTGCTTTGTAACCAGTTTTTTGTTAATTAAAGAATTAAGCACCCGTCCGGCCTTCATTATTTCACACTATAATAAGAGAAATAGTAATCATTTGAAGAATGGATGAAATTTTTTCGATTTACGTGTAATATTATTTTATTAAAAAATATACGATTAATAAGAACAGAGAGAAAATGAATTATAATTTACAAAAAATCTATTTATACATCACTTTTTTCACATCAATTTTCACGCTCCTCTCACAAAGGTGGGATCCACTATTAATTTAATCGTGGACTCCACTCACTTTGCATGTGTGTGTGCTGTGAAAAAAGTATACGTATAGAATGGTTGTATAATTTAATAGGGAATAATGGGAGCCAAACGGGGTTAAATGTGGGGGGATTTTTCTAAATGGCCTATCACTATTCATTCTTGTCAAAATGTCTATAATATCCTTAATGAAATGGCTTGTCATATTTTGCGCAAAATATCCTGATTTATTGGGATAGTTCCAAAATTCTTCTATTTCTTTCATTTCGAATTTTAATATATAGTTCCATCATTTGATCTAATAAATTAGCATAATCTGTAATATAATTGTCATATAATTCTTTAAGATTATCATATTCCTTAGACGATATATCTATAGTTTCTAGTTGAGAAAAAATACTTTTTATTTTTTCTAATAATCTTTCTAACAGATTATCTAGTCCCTTAATTGTATAGC